CAAGTTAAAATATTTCCCTCACATTTCAAATCTCTGATTTGTGTCCATTAATCCTTTGTCGTAGAGACTGTCTAGTTAGGCCAATAAAAATGGCAGACGGGTTTTTACCTGACTATTAGAAAAATAAAGTTCTCTCTCTATCTCTCTCTCTCGCTCTCCCCCTTCCCACACCCCTCACCCCAGCAAAAGCTCCAGGCACCCTGTTGTATAAGCATAAGAGCTTGGGACCTCCTTCTATGCCCAAATTTTACTTCCTCACCCACAAACTGGTGGTGTACACTTATTCCATAGGCTGGACACATGTAACATGCTTGTATGTATTGATGATATGTACATACATATTCATGATTCTAGATCATTCTCACCTATGTTATTTTTGTTCTTCTAGTGGTGTACTTGTTAAATTTGAGAGTATTCTTAGAAGCCCCTGTACCATGAAAAGTCACTATCTAATCACCATCTGTCCAGGTGAAATAGTGATAGAAATGTAGCCCTGGTAGTCTGGTCTAGCTGAAACAAAAAACAGAACTATGTAGCACTTTAAAGACTAACAAGGATACAATCAAAGGATACAATCAAAAAAATGAACACATGTCCTTTTCGTATGTGTTCATTTTTTTTATTGTATCCTTTGGTATATATGGTCATGCCAATTTTCTTCCACTATTTGATCTGAGGAAGTGGGTCTGGCCCACGAAAGCTCATCACCTATTAAACCATCTTGTTAGTTTTTAAAGTGTTACACGGTCCTGTTTTTTTTATCCAGGTGAAAGGTCCTGAACATATGCAAGTCATCTGCTGTCTGGGTGAAAGGTCCCAGACAAAAATATTAACTTGCTTTAGCTTAACATACAGGATATGGCCTGTAGGTCATTTGTGTTACAGCCAAATTACTTTGCTATAAACCTATAAACTAAAATAAATCAAATGATTAAACCATTAGAAAGTATATAAGAGATTAAAAAGATATCTATAGGCAAGCAAGCAGGTTAGCCTTACAGGCTACAGTACAGATCACAAAGATAGCAGGTAGACAGTTATTATTTTGAAATAAGTTATTTTGAAATAATTTCCTAGTGTAAGTATGTCCTATCAATGCAGTTTGACTGTGCATTTTGTTCTCACCTAGACATTACATAGCGACCCAGTCCCTGTTATATCGAATGAATTGCTTATTATCATTACACTAAATTATGTTTACAATTTATTTGAATAGAGTTAGAATTTATCAATTAATAATAATTGAACATAGTATAGTTATTGCTGCTCACCAATAGTTTTAATGTGACTTCTGCTGTTGGACATCTTTGGAGAGCTGCTTGGGGAAGGGGCTCAGAGCAGGGGGTTAGGATGCAGGAGGAGGTATGGGGTGCAAGCTCTGGGAAGGAGTTTGGGTGCAGCAGGGTGCTCCAAGCTGGGGCAGAATGTTGGGGTTCAGAAGAGGAGTGTGGGATTCTGGAGGTCGGGGTGCAGCCTCCTGCCAGGAGGCACTTATAACGCATGTGGTTCCTGGTTGGTGGTGCAGAAAGTCTAAAGCAGGCTTTCCGACTGCCCTGTCCCCACACTACTCCCAAAAGGGGCCAACACTCTCCTGTGCCCCTGGGGGTGGGAGGTCAAGGGCATGTAGCTCAATATCTCTCTCTCTCGAAACTACCTCCTTAGCTCCATTGGCCACAATTCTCCATTTCTGGCCAATGGGAGCTGCAGGGGTGGAGCTTGCAGGCAAGACCAGTGCTCTGAGACCCCTGTGGCCTCCTTCTCCTGCATGGGGCCATGCTGGCTGCTTCTGGCAGCAGTGTGGGACCAAGGCAAGCAGGGAGATTGTGATTGACTGAGAGCCCCCCCAAAAAGCCGCAAGGGGAAAGCCAAAGATCTGCATGCCGCTTCAGAGCCTCAGGTTGCCGAGTCCTGACATAGACCACACAATAGACCCTTGGTTATATGTATATAAATTCAATTTTCCATATGGATACTCGTTAGATGCTAAGTGTGCTTTTGCTCCTAAATCCATTAAACTGATAAAAAAGGTGAAATGGGGGGAAATGTAGGACCTTCCCCCCATTTCACCTTTTTTATCAGTTTAATGGATTTAGGAGCAAAAGCTGTTAACATTGATGTTTTGTTTTTAAGTCTTCCAACGCCTTGTATTGCTCTAACTACATATGCACGGATTGTGCTCAATTGCCCATCACAAATCTGTAATGGGTGTTAATGTGGCGAGCGCTTGCTGCTGTGACTGCTTAAACCAAGGCAGAACAGCTGCAGTATTTCAGCACCGCAGGAGAGCAAAAGAACCCTCTAGTTGTTCGAAATGCATTTGCTGACATGCGGAGAACGTCAGTGGTAATTGAATTGAACTTAAAAATTACTCTGTTTTTTTTGTAAAAAGTCATGTCTTACTTAAAAAAAAAAAAACTTCCCTGGGCATCAGCCAATGATGATATAAACAGCCGGGATAATTTGACATAAATACCTTCTGTGGAGCTCCAAAATGAAAACAAAAATGTCTCAAATAAGCAATCGAAGCTGGAAGGAAGGAGATGCTGAGCGGGAATGAGGGGGGAATCTTTGGGAAGAAGAAATAATGAAAGTCCAAATAAAAACAGATATAAAAATAATTTAAATTAGTTAGAGAGGCAACATAGCCACTGTTCAGGAGACCTCAAATCAACATCCTGACCTGTTTTGTGGTGTGCTGGTGGGAAAGCCTGAGGGCCTTACAAAGCCCACTCATTTTAACAATCTACCACACAATGACAGGGAAGATGGAGGTGACTCCCTGCTTCTGATGGATTCTCATATCCCCAATGGACAATGCTAATCCATCCCTGTCAGCCATAATTTGTCCCTGAGCCCGTAAGTGTGCTTTTATATTATCAAAACTAGGACTTGACTGCAACAAGGTACATTAAAAAGATTTTCCTTCATAAGATGCCTCCAATTATACAATGTCTTAAATTCTCCCCCACCCCTCCACCATGTATACTACACATTTTATCAGTTGAATGCAGTGGTGCATGGTAATATAGCTAATATACAGGCTCACCAATGGGAGGCAAAGCAGGCAACTGCCCAAAGGCCTGACGATTCAAAAGGGCTGGAGGCTCCCTGCCATTCTTCTGAGGGAGTGGCAGCAGCCAGAATTGTGGGCCCTTTAAATCTGTGCCAGAGCTGCAGGCAGTGTGGAAGGGCCACAGGGAGAGGCTACCCCCCAGCCCTGCCCCTTCCATCTGAAGCCCCACCCCTTCTGAGAGCATGGAGTTTATCTCGCTCTCTCTCTCTCTCTGAATTCCAAAGACCCCAGAAGTCGGTAAGTCCCCCTGTTGATATATTTGTCAAGAAAAAGTATAAACATTTCCAGCAAAGTTCACTTTATTTCTTGTCAAGTATCAGAGGGGTAGCCACGTTAGTCTGGATCTGCAAAAGCGACAAGGAGTCCTGTGGTACCTTATAGATTAAGGCTACGTCTAGACTGCAAGCCTCTTTCGAAAGAGGCTTTTTCGAAAGATACTTGCAAGCAGACTGCAAGCAGTACTTTCGAAAAAGCAAGCCGCTTTTTCGAAGGAGAGCACCCAGGCAGTCTGGATGCTCTCTTTCAAAAAAGCCCTGTTTGCATTCAAGAACGCCTTTTTTCGAAAGAGCACTTTCGAAAAAAGGCGTTCTTCCTCGTGAAATGAGGTTTTCCACCGTCGAAAGAAAAGCCACATTCTTTTGATTTAATTTCGAAAGAACTGTAGTCTATACACAGGGGAAATTTTTTCAAAAAAAGGCTACTTTTTTCGAAAAAACCCTTGAGTCTGGACACAGCCTAACAGATGTATTGGAGCATAAGTTTTCGTGGGCAAAGACCCACTTCGTCAGATGCATGTGACCGTAAAAACAGATGTCATGCATCTGACGAAGTGGATCTTTGCCCACGAAAGCTTATGCGCCAATACATCTGTTAGTCTACAAGGTGCCACAGGACTCCTTGTCTATATTTCTTGTGTGTTTCCTTGCTTAGCATTATGAGAGAGCATTTTGCAGTTAAAAAGAAGAATAAATTTCTCGCCCCTCCTTTCTATATTATATTTAACACAGGCTAAATAAGGAATTTTTGTGGGAGCCCCTTTTTAAAATACTGGCAGCATCTTACTGGGTCATTTGTGATCTTTCCAGATGGGAAGGGGGTCTAATTCCAGGATCCTGGCCAAACATCATTTTTAGTAATTACTTTGTCATCAGTCCCACTGCAGTTTCATTAAGGTCTTGTACAGTTCATTCTTGCAGAACATGCACTGTTGTGGTGCTGTTAAATAGTGGCCATCTTTCATCCGAGAGGCGACTTCACTTAAGTAGTAGAACAATTCCTTGGGATACTTTGTGATGACAGGTGCTGTATAAATGTGCAATGAGTTTATTATTATTATTGTCCTTCCTTACAGGTTTAACATTGTTACAAGCTATCTTTTTTTTTTTTAGCACCTAGATTTTGTTGCCTTTAGAATTGGGGTAGGAGGAGATGCAAAAATTCTTAGTGCACAATGCTATTATTATGGACTACATATCAACATGAGCTTAGTAATTACTACATAGCTTCCAGTAGTCACAAAATAGCTTTTAGAATATCATTTATTATGTTAGTGATGGCTCTGTTTTATTTTATAGGTCTATTTATTTTCTAACTTCTACATTAGATAAATAATGTATGATGGGTTTTTGCCATATGAGCTATTTTTCCTTAATGAGCACTTCTTATATTTATTTGAATGACAAGATGGACTCAACTTACTATTACGCAATCAAAAGATTTAACCACTCAGACTGAGCTTCCATTAAACTCTCCCATCCAAAACACATTAATTAAAAACAACTGTAAAGTGGAAAAGCATGTGCTCAATCATTTGTGGATGTGTTTATACGATATTGATTTATCCGCATGTCCTTTATTTGAATTAGGAATGGCGAGATAATTTCACTTAAACTCCTAACTTTGTTATTTTTACATTTGTTTTTGATAGCCCTTGATCCATCCAAAGATCCATGTTTGAAGGTAAAGTGCAGCCCACATAAAGTGTGCGTCACTCATGATTATGAGACAGCGATTTGTGTAAGCCGTAAGCAGCTGGTACACAGGTAAGGATGCACTTGTAATGTGTCATGAACCACCAAAATTAAAAAAGTCTAAAGTGAACATTAAAAGAGATGCTTGAGATATTCTTTGAAGATTTAATTTATATTTGCTTTTGTTACTGAGTGTAACTTTTATATTTATTGCAAGAAAGGCTAGAGCAGGGTTGGAACTGTTCCAGAAAGATCAGATGTTTTGGAACACAACATAGGGTGAATTGTATGTTGCAGTATATCTACTACCTAGCCCTGGAAGCATTTTTTTCAGATAAGAAACGTGGCGCATAAAAGCCTGAATTCGTGAAATATGAAAATATTCCAGATGCTGTATACTTCTACGGTACAAATTAATTAAGTGCAAACAATTAAAAGCAGTAGCAAACAAAGGGAACTTCTACTTTTTGTTTAATAAGCAAAATCTATGCCTATTAGTAAGGTACACTTCAAAGTTTTGATAGTTCTAGGAAAAATATTCCACAGATAAGTCACAAAATCACAGAAAGCAATAGATCCCTTTTCTGAATGATTAAACCAAGGGCAAATTAAATGGTAAGTACTTCAAGAACTTTGGGGTTTTCTGATGGAACTAATGGTTTCTTCACTGCAGTGTCAACTGGAGTTGGGTTCACTCGTGGTGACTTCTCCTGAGTTAGCCTAACTTGTGTGGGAGTTCAAAACTGAGTTCTGGCTGAATAGTGTTTGGATTTGCAGCACAAAGTGGCAGAGTCCCTCCTGCATGACAGACTTCAGCTTTTAACCTGGACCTGCTGATGGCTAGTGAACTTCAGTTTAAAGCACCAGTTAACTTGAGCTACAGACATCTGCATATGGACTAGAGTCAGGGTAAGGGCTACAGACATATCTTGAGCTAACACTGCAGTGGAGACAAGTCCTAAGAGACTTAGGCCTCTATATCCTGTTGAAATTCGTTAGGTTATAGACTCCCTGAAAAGTGTCCCCTCCCCACAACAAAGGAGAAGTTATAATATACATTGCAAGATAATCAGAAAAACTGAGTAAAGAAAATTGTGAACATCAGTAAAAGGACTTTAACAATAACTGTGACTTTACTAGGTGCAGAAACTTTTTAAAGTCGGATGAATATGCTGTGAACTTGGAATACTTATGAAATTGTTGCATGTCCCATTTGCCATGATATATATTTTCTCTCTCGGTAAAACATACTTGTCATAATCAAACCTCATTCACAAGTATTGCATGATCTGTCCTACGAAGGACTGGCATCAAGCTGGCATAATAAAGAGGTTTCGAGATGATGATAGCTGTCCTGGAGCAATAGGCTAGGCTGTTAATATTGATGGAAGGTGTCAATTCTGTATTGCCACATAGAGTTTCCAGGGAAATACACTTTTCAGGGGCTGGCTCTGTGCCACAGTGAAAATCACATTAGAGGAATTCAGTTTCATACTGTTATGTCACATCCAATCTACTATATATTTGTCCATCTGTCTGTCTTGTTTGTCCTCCTAAATGGTAGGAGCTAGGACCACCAAATTCGGTACACAGCTTCCTCTTATAACTTAAAGCAAGGTCAGGGTTTGGTTGTGACAGGACAAAGGGATGTGCCTGGAATGGCATTGGTTCTCAAAAAACTGCACAGAAAAGAGACAGAATCAACAGGCAGGTAAAAAGGGCTGGCAAAGGGCATCTCCTCCCCTCTTTCCCCATCTGGGACCGCCCCATCCTGGAGCCTCCCATTCCAGGAGTTGCTTTTTAGGAAGGTCAGAGGAAGCTGAAGCTCACATATAGGAACATTGCTGGCTGTTACTCTTCGTTAGATAGTGAGGGTAAAGTGCACCGTTTGCTGCATTCCACACTCTGGCTGGGGAACCAAGAGGGCAAACAAACCTGGACCTGCCCTGGTCAGTGGACATGCATCCCTCCCCTGGCTGTGCCCACTGGAGCTGCAGCAGCCATGAGAAGTGCTTCTCATCTGGCCTGAACCTGCTGCGGTGAGAGAGGGTTGGGGTAGCCCTCTCTCCCAGGGTAGCTGGCCTATGGAATCCCTCATCATCCCCAGTCCATGTCAGAGCAATAATTTAAATGAAGCATGTACATTTTCATTTTATTTAAAAAAAAATTAATTGTGTTCTGGACCCAAGCAACACCAGGTAAATTTTCTAGAATTTAATACATTCCAAATAATTATCAAGAATGGAAACGGTTAAGGTCCTGACCTTTCAGGGAAAAATACCTGTTCAACTTGACTCATATTAGTAATCCTACTGAAGTTACTGACTACTCACAGGAGCAACATTACTCATAATAGGTGCTGGCCGGATGAAGACTTGATTTTTGCAATAAGTTCTTTCATTAATTTCTTTAATATGTTTGAGGGAAAAAATCTGTCTTTGCAGAGTGTTTTGTCCAATAAGAGAATTTTGGTGGCAATACATGGTTCAGACAAGGAAAATGGTTTTCTTGAAATCTGTTTTGCCTTATCATGCAAAGCTCAGATGGACAAAATAGTCTTTATAATCCTCAGTTTGGAACATAAAGTGAAGCTGTTAAGAAGCTTATGCTACCATGAAGTTTTGCATGTTATGCAATTGCACAACAGCCCTCAGAAGAAAATGAAGCACCTGTATGTCATGAGTATAAATAAAGTACATAAAAATGTAAGATTTAAATATTTTGCTATAGTAGGTCACACCAAAAGCCCATCTAGCCAGTATTCTGCCTTGTAACAGTGGTCAATGCCAGATGCCCCAGAGGGAATGAATAGAACAGGGAGTCAGTAAGTGATCCCTCTTCTGTCCCTCATTCGCAGTTTCTGACAGACAGGCTAGGAACACCAACCCTGCACAAACCATCGAATAGCCATTGATGCGCCTGTCCTCCATCAACTCACCCAGGTTTTTTTGTGTACATGTTGAGCCAAATAGTTTTCCTGGGCTACTTCCAATATTTGTTCTCTCAGAAGCAATCAGGCGACTTGTCATTGGCACCTACTTCCCCTCTGCCTTAGGCCCCGACCTCATCCCGTCTCTTTCTGCCCTGCCCAACTCCCATTCTACTCCTTCCCCTAAGCTCTCACCTTGTCTCTTCCCCACTTCCTCCCTTGAGTGCACTCCATCCCTGTTTCTCCCCCCTCCCTCCTGGAGTATCCTGAACACGGCAGAACAGCAGTTTATGGCTGGTGAGAGGTGCTGGGAGGGGGGAAGAGGAGTTGGTCAGCTGGGCTGCTGGTAGGAGGGAGGAGCTGGCTACTAGTTGGTGCTCAGCACCCATTAATTTTTCCCTGTGGGTTCCCCCTGCCTTGGAAGATCCACAGAGTCAGTCCCTATGCGACTTGGTCATAGTGGCCCAGACGGAACGGTACAAAGTGGAAGCTGCAGATCCACTTTTTTCCCCAAACCAGATCAAGCTGGTGTGATCTCTCTAGGTTTCCTGCACTCCCTGCAGCCGTTTCAGATAGACTTTGAGTAGCATTGTGGTTCTGGTGACAGTTTAAATGCTCTTTCTACTTTACTTTGAGAAAGCCTTCAAATGTTTTCCAGCTCGTTTTGTAGTACTGTGAACATCCCTATTGATGCACAGTAGGGGCATGTGTGTCACAGAAGCGCTCTTGCTCTCAAAATATCCGATGAGCCAAATTCCTCAGAGGGCAGAAGTATCACTGAGGAAAGTAGCCAGCCAAATTCTTTGAGGACTTAAATCTTTTGACCCAGACAATAATGGAGAATTTGGCCCTTTGTCTCTGTATTTTGTGACTTTGTGTTCTTTTGGCTGTGCCTGACCAGAATACTATATAAGAGAGACAAGGTGGGTGAGGTAATTCTTTTATTGGACCAACTTCTGTTAGGGAGAGAGACAAGTTTTCGAGCTCTGTTTAAGCCCGAAAGCTTGTCTCTTTCACCCACAGAAGTTGGTCCAATAAAAGATATTACCTCACGCACCTTCTAAAATCCTGGGGCCAGCACAGACTCCATGTAGATTATGGTATGCCTGATCACAATCTCATTTATCCTCATATAAATGACCAAATCCATTAGAGTCAATGGAGTTAAACCAATATAAAAGACTGATAATTGGGACCTACCTGTCTGTACATATTGTGGCTAAGCTCTGGCCTTTCTCTAGGGGTACGTCTAGACTACAGGCTTCTGTCGACAAAGCGCGTCCAGACTACATTGAGTTCTGTCGACAAAGCAAGCTGCTTTTGTCGACATGGTAGTCTGGACGCAAAGGACAGTTTCCATTCAATAACACCTTCTGTCGACAGAAACTCTGTCGACAGAAGGTGTTATGCCTCGTAAAATGAGGTTTACCAGCGTCGACAAAACTGCTGAGTTCTGTCAACATTATGTCGACAGAACTCAGCGGTAGTGTGGACGCAGGTATAGTTTTGTCAACAAAAGTCCACTTTTGTTGACAAAACTCTGTAGTCTAGACACACCCTAGGGGTCCTGTGCTCCTGGGTAAATAGTGTTTGCCTCAGAGGCTTGCCATGACCTCCATGTAGCCTCTTGCTCTTTACTAGAGGCAAGGGTCACCGCCTACTGAGCCATCCTCACCATAGGCCATTCAAACAGGTCATCATAGGCCTCTTTGGTCCCAAACTCTCCCTTTAGGGGTGACCTCCATGGAGGTGCAGGGAAAGTTGGGGGGGGACCACAGGCCCATCCTGTGCTCTGGGTTCCAGTCCAAGGACCTTAATGGCAGCAGCAGATAGTAAATCTTCTACTGCCAGAGCTGCAGCTTTTCCCTGACCACTTCCCCAATCAGCTCCTCCCAGTATCTTTCTCATGGTACTTGAGTAAGTACTTCCTGCTCCTTCACAGCACGATTTGTCACTCCCAGTCCTTAGGTCTCCCAGCTCTTTCCAAAGGGAAGCCTTTTAAACCAGTCTCAACTAAGGATGTTAAGGACTAGTCAAAAGCTTAAAAGCTTATTGGATAGTTAGTTAACTAGTCGATTCCCCCCCCCCCTTGCTGCCCCTATCAGATAGAGGCAGCAGAGGGGGAGAAAGGGGTACTTCAGAG